CAATGATTTTGTTATGTTCCCGAGAAACTTTGCAAGTTTTGTGAGCAAGTGCCAAGAATTTGTGTCCCAAAAAAAAAAAAAAAAAAAAAAAAAACATTCAGGGAAACGAAAATTTTGCGATCCATTTTCCAAACTGCTTGTCTATGTGGCTACAGATTAATATCATACAGGTATAAATTACTATTTAAGTGATTATTACATTGTCATGGAAACATTGTCTATGTATAAACCTTAATTAAACAGATCTTTGCATTACTACTGGAAGCTTCCAGTTTGCTATGTTTCAAATGATAATCGTGGCTAGGCTAGTCGGCTGCTACCACCATATACTGTCCTAAAACCAAGTTTTGCAGTCCACATGGGCTCCCAACACTTCCGGTGGATGTCACACTTGCACTCTAAGTCACTAAAAGCACTGCCACTTGTCCTGGTGTACATGGTCATCATTTATCCACGTCTGCCGGATCCATCGATAGCTGCTAACTGTAGCATTACAATGACTCTTACACCCACTATGATTCGCTATCTGTCGAATCATCTCTTGGAGCTTAACACTCGCTTTATCCCATCGAACATTGCTTCTCTCAAAGAACTGGGCATCCTTCGTCAACCCCCCTACATTTATAGAGGGTCACGGCGGCGATTTGTTTACTCCGAGAGGATCACCGAGAGCTCTATTCCAAGCCTGTGGACAGTTGCTAGTACCGGCGCACATCAACGACATCATCAGAAGCGTTTTTGCTTCATGCTTCAAATACTGTAACCGACCACACCCACGCCCCCTTCAGGAGGAACTACCCACTGCGCGTCCTGAGAAACGCAGAGTGGATCCTACCGTGCTGCGCTTTCTGATAAAGTGGACTCTCCAAATATTAAAATGGAACTGTTAAACTGTCAATCACTTACCAATAAGGCATCTTTTATTCACAACTATATAATTGATCATAAGCTTGATTTTATGTGCCTCACTGAGCTGGCAAAATCAGAAGTGTATTTTGCACTTAATGAGGCTTGCCCACCTGGCTATACTTATCTGGAAAAATCTAGGGGAAATGGTCGTGGAGGGGGTTTGGCGGTCATTTATCGCTCTGATTTTCACCTATCTTTGGTGTCCTTGCCAAAGCTTTCGTCATTTGAATGTCTGGCTTTTAAATGTGATTTACCCACTCCATTTACAACCATCCTCATATACCGACCACCAAAATCACACCTGTGTTTTATTGCAGAATTAACTGAGTTACTTTTGCCAGTTTGCACCACATCAAACCATGTGGAAATTCTCTGAGACTTTAACATTCATGTTGAATCTCCAACAAGTTTACATACCACAGAACTTTACAACTGTTTGATTCACTCAACCTCAGGCAACTCGTGACAGTCCCTACACATACCAAAGGGCATACATTGGATCTCATTGTAACAAACTTTCCGGTTAACAATGTTCATGTACACGATTTAGGCATATCTGATCACAATGCCATTTCATTCGACTTTTCACTGTTGACCTCACTTAATAAACCTAAACATAAAATCTGCTTTCGCCGAACAAAAGAAATTAACCTTGAACATCTGTAACGTGATTTACAAAAACTAATCATATCGGCCGATCACTCTACTACTGACGCGCTTGTCGATCATTACAATGTCGGATTAAAAGGGATTCTTGATGCCCATGCACCCCTCAAGACACGGACTGTAACATTTACACGCTCTGCTCCGTGGTACACTGATGCGCTTCGTAGACAGAAGACGGCTGGGGAGGGTCCTCGAGAGGCGCTATGTTGCCACTGGGCTCACTGTACACAAAATCACTAATAGAGAGCACCAAAGATCATATTCCAAATTACTCAGTCAGGCACGGTCACAATACTATTCCAATATCATTAACAATAATCCAAGAAATCCAAAACAGCTCTTTAAAACAGTAAACTATCTTCTCAGTCCACCTGCCCTGACGCATAAAAACAATACTGATGACCAGTGTAATAAATTCCTTGATTTTTTCACCACAAAAATAACTACCATCCACGCTAATCTAATACCAAGCAATGTCATTCCATCCATCACCCCAATCTCTGCACCAATACTCTCTCATTTCACTACACCTACACATAGACAAGTTGAGACTCTCATACACAGTATGAGACCCTCAATGTGTTCACTGGACCCTTTTCCCACTGCCATGATCAAATCAAATACTATTTCTTTAAGTCCTCTCATCACTACTATCATCAACTCTTCCCTGCAATCGGGTAATTTTCCAATCTTGCTTAAAACTGCGCTTATCAACCCTCGGCTTAAGAAACCATCTCTTGATCCTGATATCTTATCAAATTCTCTGCCGGTTTCCAACCTTCCATTTCTCTTCAAAATCCTTGAAAAAGTAGTCATCATCTTCACTCACATAGTCTCTATGAAAAATTTCAGTCTGGTTTCCGCTCCAGCCATAGTGTAGAGACAGCCCTGGTCAGGGTCACCAATGATCTTCTTGTGGCTGCTGACCAGGGCTCTCCATCTCTCCTTATTCTCTTGGACCTCTCAGCCGCCTTCGACACTGTTGACCATAACATTTTACTCCATCGTCTGCAACACCTCATTGGCATCTCACATAGAGCACTTCAATGGTTTCGATCCTACCTGACTGACAGAGTTGAGTATGTGGCCCTGGGGGAGCCAGGTAGAGGCCCCACACAGTTACATGTGGAGTGCCCCAGGGTTCCGTTCTCGGCCCTACCCTTTTCTCCATTTATATGCTCCCACTGGGCCACATCATCAGCAAGCATGGCGTTGCCTTCCACTGCTATGCTGATGATACTCAGCTATATGTCAGGCCAGACCCCACATCATCTACACCATCACTCTCCACTCTAAACACCTGCCTGGAGGAGACAAGGGCACGGATGACGGATAACTTCCTCCAGCTAAACAGCACTAAAACTGAAGGTCTCCTTATTGGGACCCCACACAAACTCCGATCTTCCCCCCTGACTGTCTACTCATTTGCTGGCCATGACATTCCTTTGACATCCTCTATAACAAACCTGGGAGTTCGATTTGACGCCCATCTATCATTTAACACTCACATCCAACACACCTGTAAAATGGCATTTTTTCATCTCCGGAACATTTCCAAACTTCGCCCCTCCCTCTCCTTTTCTGATGCAGAGATGCTGGGGCATGCCAATGTCTCCTCCAGGCTTGACTACTGCAATTCACTTCTCATTGGGATCCCTGGCAGGAGCATGCCTAGATTGCAGTACATCCAGAATTGCGCTGCCAGGGTCCTGATGGGGGTGCGCAAATTTGAGCACATCACACCCATCCTCCAAAAATTCCACTGGCTCCCGGTTAGATTCAGGATTGATTGCAAGATCTGTCTCCTGACCTATCAGTGTGTCTACGGTAGTGCACCAGAGTACCTTAAAGAACTCATTAATTTTCATAATCCACCCCGACATCTCCGCTCTTCTGACAGCCACAAACACCAGGTTCCTATGTCCAAACTCCGCACTATGGGAGACCTCGAATTTGGAATGCTCTACCTAATCACCTGAGAGCGCCACAGTCTATAGAGGTTTTTAAAAATAAATAAAAAAGACCCGCTTATTTTTAACTGCATTTTCTTAAAATTATATTTTGCTTTTATTGCCACTGACTGTTTTTTAATTTTGTCATTGATTTTTTTTTTTTTTTTTTTCTGCTGTAAACTACAGTACTAAGGCAGTATTGGGTATTATAAGGTAACTACATGGGTTTTCCCACACTGTCTATGTGGGAAAGACAGTGAAGATGGACTCATCAGAGAACAATGTTTCACATTGTCCACAGCCCAAGATTTCCACTGTTGGCACCAATGAAACCGACATCTGACATTGGCACGAGTGACCGAAGGTTTGGCTATGGCAGCCCGACAGTGAATATTAACCACATGGAGCTCCCGATGAACAGTTTTGGTGGAAACGTGAGAGTTAAGGTGGGTGTTTAATTCTGCAGTGAGTTGGGCAGCTGTGATTTTATGGTTTTTTTTTATTTTGTTTTTTTTTACAATCCAGGTTATTAGCTGGACATCCCTTTTAGATCCCCAAGTACTTTTACATCCCTTCATCCTATCCAGCTCTTGATACGCCACAGAGACTCGCTGTCCTTGTCACAGATGAGCATCTGTCCTCTTTTGAACTCTGATATGTCTCCCATTATGTTGTGTGGATTTCAATATTTTAGCTGTGCTATTGCTCTGATAGTTCAACTTTCACACTCTGTTCTTACAGATTTTATTGTGAAATCAGTGGAGATTGGCCACCAGGCCGAACATATATATGAGTGAAACCTCCAACACTATATTGGCCAGTGTTTCAGTTTCCAATTGTCCAATCCCTGTATATTAGTGGACTAATGTATGAAATAGTGAATAGTGATTTCGAACACAGCCTTGGAATTTACTGACTACAACTTTAGAGATACTTTTTATAGGCCACTTTTTATTTTTAATGCATACAGACAACTTTTATGGTACGTTTATGACATTTTTATGCCTTTTTTTTTGTCTGGAAAAAGCAGCGTGAACAATCTAATATCTTTATTTGAGTTCCGAAAGAAAGAAAATTGTATGGAGACGAAATTTTGGCTGAACTGTTCCTTTAAGAGTGCAGTTATGATGCCACTGCCAAGAGAACACATATACGCCACAAGCCATCGGGCATCTAAATGCCTCGGAAAAACTGAATTGTTATAGCTGTAATTTTCTAACAGTGCATGGGTTCATTTGTTACCATTCATGAAGCAATTTGGGAACTGGGTGATGCCCTGTGAGGTGTAAACTGCAATTATCTCTGTTGATTTCACACATACTTTCAAGACAAAGTCAAAATCACTTCACACTTCATGTGACTGGTGGTTTTGTGTATGAGCTTAAACATTTGACCTGATCTATGCAAATTAGAAATCGTATCGTGGCGTACTGCGTTTTAAAAAGCAAATCTCTTTAGCTTACCTCTCTATGTAGAGTACCTCTGACATACGAATTTGTCATTCAGAGATTTTCCTCCTCCCCAAGCCATTCCTCTCCCACTTCCAGCTGATGTCCATTTCTCATCTCCTTCTCAATTCCTCCTCCAGCATGCAATCTGTACTTGACGGATTCCTTCCATTTCTTTTGCATTAGTGGCAGTCTCTTCCCGGGATCATTATCTTGACAAACACAAAACCCCTTAAAATAATAGTCTACCTGACAATTCTTATAATGACATGCTGCTTAGCAACCTACTTCAAGATTAAAAATAATATCTCAGACAAAATCACATTGCACAATTATATTATATCACACATCCCCACTTACCATTTTATCCGCAATCTTAAAACACAGTTTCTCTGGACGTGCAGAGAATTGAGCTCTTTTCTCGGGTGCTTCTGATGAGGCCGACATATTCCAGGTCTCCAAAGAAACCCATTGATTGACCGTCGGATGTCCATGAGTGATTGAGCTCAATTACAGTTATCTTGTTTTCTCTGAAGACCATTATCTCCGCTACCTGCGGAAAAGAAGAGAACTGGAGAGTCGATGGCATGAAATCTGAAGACTCGAGAACCTGATTGTCTATACTCAGATACAAGTGATACCTGGTGCTACAAACACCACCTTGTCCATCTTCTACTGCTCAAACACCTGATTGCCGTATTGCTGCAAGCAAGACGACTGGTCAAGAATGTCTTGATGTTTGTGAGGTATGCTAAGAGGAAAAGTTGATGCAAAGCATGCAATCTCATAATGTATTGCAACATAAATCTCAGTGGGAAAAAAAGAATCCAATAGGCAGATGAACAAAGAGAAATATTGATTAATTGTACTTAAAGTGTAACTTTGCTGATTTTCAACCCACTTGGTATTGTTACAGTGTTGGTTGATTATGTAAATGGACAATGTTTACTCCATTTTCGCGTTACCTGGGCCAAGAAATTTGAGTACATTTGTCAGTTTATTTGTCCGTCATCCAGCAGACATTTGACAGCTCCAGAGGTAGCTTTCGTCAAAACCAAAGATTTTCGTATTAGTTAGACGCGTTCCTGGGTCATCATATTTGGTTGATCTTTTTTACTTATTAAGAAAAGCATCTTAAGCACAATACAAGTATCAGATTGTCACAGAATTAAATGGAGGGGGAAAAGCAAAAAATAAACAAGCATAATAAATTCTCACATATGAATGAATATGAATATAATCACAGTACATATAAAACAACTACTGGTAATAAACCAGAAGAAAAAAAATAAAATTAAATTTATCCAGAGCTTGTTTCTTTAAAATAATCTAAAAACGGGGTCCTTGATTTTAAGAAAAGATCGGGTTTCATTTGTTTGAGGGCAAAGAGTAGGTCAAAATCCCACTGACAGCTGGTTGGAGGAGATGGCAGCTTTCAATTCATTAGTATAAGTCATCTATCCAACAGTGTACAAAGTGCAATATTATCCATCTCTGAAGCTGTAAGTTTAACATTTTCTGCAAAAAACCCCAACCTAAAACAACATTCCTGTCCGAAAATGTTGTGCTAACCAGGGCTTGGCAGTGACACCCGCCAATGGTTGAAATAATATTAACATTTGTAGTCTTTTAAAAAGTTATCTTAAATAATAAAGTGCAATGTATTCCCAGACAGCAAACTGACATTGAATCAAAGTGGAAACGACGTCTCTCATGACATCGAAACAACGTTGATCTGGCATTGTTTTGCTCATCGAATTAATGTTGAACCAACGTCAGACGCGGCATTCTTCAAAGCTAAATGAAAATCGAAAATTGGTTTGCTTTCATAACGTTGAAACAACGTTGATTTCAAGTTGATTTTCCGTTAGTTTTGAAAGAATGACGCGTCTGACGTTGGTTCAACGTTAATTCGATGAGCAAAACAATGTCAGATCAACGTTGTTTCGATGTCATGTTTCCACGTTGATTCAATGTCAGTTTGCTATCTGGGTTGCTCTCATCAACAAAACATTGACATATCTGAAACGCTTCCAATACTCATTTTCTGCAGAATAGATACATACCAGCTGTGCTTTCTCTTTCTCATTTTTCACGGGTTATTCTGCTTAAAGGGATACTTCAGGATTTAGCATTTAGCTTTGTTAGTAGAAAACCTGTAGTATTTTCAAATTACCATGCTTTCCACCCTCATATCCCCCTGAGACGAGAGATTTATGTATTTTTTTGTCTGGAAAAAATCCTCCGATGACACAAAAATCATCATTTTGCGTCATCTGAGGATTTTTAGGCCAGAGGCTAAAGACTACAGTCAGTAGTGGGGGCTGTCCCGCATGTTCTCAACCCGCCCACTCACAGAATGTACACATAGTGTCAGCCATATTTTTTGGAAGCTAAGCTAGCAGGCTCTTGTTCTGTGGAGAAAGCTGAGTAGTAGGGGTTACCATCCTCTTTTTCCCGGACATGTTCGTCCGTCGAGCTTTTGCTTTCTGCAGTTGCCATTCATTGTTTACATGCACAGCTTTTGTTTCAATCTAACTGAATTCATTCTGATTGGTGAATCTGTATGTAGTGTTTACATGAACGCTAAACAAGTGATCTTATGTGCCTTTTAACATTGCTAAGAAAATTCCCGCTCCTCCGTGAGAGATACGAGACCGGTCACAGGCGTCTCTCATCGGTTATCACGCCACTGGCCTCGCGCCGTTCTCCCGCGGCCCTCACTCGTCCTGCTCGCCACAGTAAACATAATGAATGGTGACTGTAGAACGCAAAAGCCGAATCCCGAACATTTTGGCCGATCACAAAACACATTTTTTGGGCAGACTTATCACGGAGACTCACTAGTAACCTAGATTTGTTTAACTACTGCGCTCTGTTACCGGTAGGCGTGGCCTCTTAGGGCAGCAAAGCAAGTGCATTCTGGGAGGTGTTGTCTTTCATCCACATAAGCCAAAATACATTTTACAGTCTAGAAAGCTCCAAATTCAAAAATAATATCACATTTCTTACACAGAAATGACCCATTTTAAATACACATTCATCTTTCCACAAGTCGGTCTTGGTGAGTATTCATGTAAACACAGTCAGTTATGTTTAAGTGAGCGTAAACAGTGGAGAAAGAAAACACATGTGTAACAGTATAATGGATCCATGCATAAGGTCTTAAATTGACAGCAGCCTAATATACCTGCTGCCAAATAATGAGATAATATTAAAAATATCTCTTTAGCTGTTTTTCCCTGTGGCATCAATGTCAAAATTGAGGCCAGTGAAAATTCTGAGTGGCTAGAAACTTTGGAAAACCACTAAACACAGTGGCTGGTGAGCAAAGTTATAACCATATCCCTACCCCTAAACTTAGTTTTTTTGTTGTTGCTGTTGTTTTTTTTTTTTTTTTTTTTAACGCAGCCTTTAGCCACCGTCTATGTGCTGGACCCTTCACTGGAAACTGAAAGTAACTCTCTCTTTGAATTCTTCTTTATGTATTCGATAGCACCAATTTCAGTTCCCTATCGAGGGAACTCAACACTGCGTCGATAAAATCGACTCTTTGGGGACGCTCCCTAAGCGTGCGCCTCTGAAGTATGAATGAAACTAATCCAATCCTGATTGGTGTTGCGTCGTGACGTAACATGTGACGGCATACCCGGAAGTATAAAAGTGACGCTGTCACAACACACACTAGCTTTCGCTCTTCAGCAAGCGCTTTATGTTGAAACTGTCTGTCTTATTTGGTGTTGTTTGTCTTATTATTGAAAGAAAGTATGGCCAGTGAACAATTCAAGAGGTGTGTGCATCCCTGCCCTCGTTTCATCACGGGTGGGGACGCACACTCTCTATGTGTGTATTGTTTGGGAGTGCAGCACGCACGGGCAGCTCTCGAGGGGGCTGCTTGTGAAATGTGTGAGGCTTTGCCTATTAGAGTGCTGCGCTCCCGGCTGGCGTGCTTTGACGAGCACGGTCAGGCTCGCGTTCCCCAGGGTTCCGGTCCCGCATATGTCGAGGCGATGCGGCGACTGAGATCCTGGGGTTCGCAGCGGGATCTGGCGGAGGAGAGTGAGAATGCTGAGGCATTTTCTCGCTCGCCATCGGCTGGTCCCGCAGCCTCTGAGAGTGGTGTGGGAGCCCGCGCTGCGGTTTCTCCTACCCGCGATCAGGTCCCGGTGCTTGAGCTGTCTACTTCTGAGGAAGGGGACGTGCTCAGCATCGATGCGGACGACCGTGATCTCAGCACGCCATCACGCGGCCTGGGTTATGAGGAGCTGGTGGAGGTTGTGACACGCGCTGTGGCCAGACTAAACATCAGCTGGCCACAACATGAGCAGGAAACGCAAGTCACCAGTAAAATGGACGAGCGTTACCTGCAGCGCAGGTCACAGCCTCACCGCCGGGGTCTGCCGTTTTTCCCTGATCTCCATAAAGAGATCTCGAGAACGTGGGAAAGACCGCATTCGTCCCGTATTTCGAGTCCCAATGTAATAGATTACAGCAATGTTATGGGGGCTCGAGATATGGGATATGGGAAGATGCCGAAGGTGGAGGAGGCTTTAGCGAGCTATCTCTCTCCCGAATCGGCGTCTTCCCTAAAGACCCCGGTGTTGCCTAGTAAGCCCTGCAGAGAGACATCTGCATTGGTGGGCAGGGCTTACATGGCGGCGGGTCGGGCTGGTTCGTGTCTGCACTCAATGGCGATTTTGCAGGCATACCAGGCCGACCTCCTGAAAGATTTGGATGAGGGGGAGGGGCCTACTCCTGAAGATGTCGCGGAGTTGAGGAAGGCCGCAGATTTGTCTCTCCGGGCCACTAGGGAAGCGGCCAGCGCTATTGGCCGCTCTATGGCGGCCATGGTGGCCACGGAGAGGCATCTGTGGCTGAACTTATCCGGTATTAAAGAAAAGGATAGGTCCTTCCTGCTGGATGCGCCGCTTTCGGCTTCTGGCCTGTTCGGCGACGCCGTTAATTCGGTTGTCGACAGGTTTCAGGAGTCGAGAAAACAATCTGCGGCGTTCCAGCAGTACCTCCCCCGGAAAGCGAAGGCCAAATCTAGTAGGGGGGGGCAAAGCAATCAGCCCCAGCCATCAGCCAGCTCCTCCCACAGGGCAGAGCAGAAGGAGAGCGTTTCCTCTAGAGCCCCCCTCCGGGGTCTTGGCAACAGAGGAAACGCTCCCAAAAACCGAAGTCCTCCAGCCAGAGGGGCGACCTGAGGGACGTCATTCAGGCTAAGAGGACTTCGGAAAAGAGGTCCTAGCCAAGGCAGGACTTCAGAGGGCTGCCCCTCCGCAGTGAGACAACCGAGGTTGTTCTCACAACGGGGCCCTCTAGGAAAAGATGCAGGTCCGCCGTTAACAGCGCTTCGGGCCGCATCAATTTCCAGCGAAAAGACACCAGAGGCCAGCCTCGAGAGGCTGGTACCCTTAGCAGATTTTGTAGAGGGATGGTATCATCTTCCCAACATATCTCCATGGGTCCTGCAGATAATACGAGTTGGGTACAGACTGCAGTTCGCGCACCGCCCCCCAAGTTCTCTGGGGTGGTGCTCACTGCGGTGGTCCCAGAGCAGGCTCAGGTGTTGGAACAAGAAGTACAGACTCTGCTGTCGAAAGGAGCCATAGAACGTGTTCTTCCGGTAGACAGGGAGTCCGGGTTTTACAGCCGGTACTTTATAGTTCCAAAGAAGGATGGGGGGTTAAGGCCAATTTTGGATCTCAGGGTGTTGAACCGGTCTCTGAGAAGGTTCAAATTCAGAATGTTGACCATTCCAACAATCGTGAGTCAAATCAGATCCGAGGACTGGTTTGTCACGATAGATCTGAAAGACGCCTATTTTCACATCTCCATCCTTCCTTGTCACAGGAGGTACCTGAGGTTCGCTTTCGGGGGCGAAGCATACCAATATCGGGTTCTTCCGTTCGGCCTAGCACTCTCTCCCCGCACATTTACCAAGTGTATGGACGTGGCCCTTGCTCCACTGAGACTTCAGGGGATTCGCGTATTGAATTATCTCGACGACTGGCTTATTTTGGCCCAGTCTCGGGAGATGGCAGTTCGGCATCGAGATGTCGTTCTTGGCCATATTCAAAAATTGGGGTTAAGACTCAATTTGAAGAAGAGTGTGCTAGAACCGTCCCAGGGCACGACCTTTTTGGGAGTCGTGTGGAACTCGATTACAATGCAGGCACGTATGTCTCCCGCACGTATCGAGTCAATTCTGGCGATGGTGTCCAGGGTGAGGCTAGGTCAGGCCGTCACTGTGAAACACTTTCAAAGGATGCTGGGCCTCATGGCAGCGGCATCCAACATTATTCCTCTGGGCCTCCTTCACATGAGGCCCCTCCAGTGGTGGTTGAAGACCAAGGGGTTCTCACCCAAAGGAAATCCGTTCCGTATGATCAGAGTAACGCGCAAGTGCCTTCAGTCTCTGCAAATATGGAAGAAGCCTTGGTTCCTATCCCAAGGGCCAGTGTTGGGGGTGTCATGTCGCCGGGAAACCGTTTCGACAGACGCCTCCCTTACGGGCTGGGGCGCGGTCATGGACGGCCGCTTTACCAGGGGTCTGTGGCAGGACCATCATCGCACTTGGCATATAAATTGCCTGGAGATGATGGCGGTATTCAAGGCTTTGAGGAGCTTCCTCCCAGACATCGAGGGTCGCCACGTCCTTATACGGACAGACAATACGTCAGTGGTGGCCTATCTGAACCGACAGGGGGGACTCAGATCGCGCCCTCTGTGCAAACTGGCGCATCAGATTATCCTTTGGTCCCAGGGAAAGATATTGTCAATAAGGGCAATGTATATCCCAGGGGTTCAGAATCGGGGAGCAGACATCCTGTCGAGGCAGGGGCTGAGGCCCGGGGAATGGAGACTTCATCCGGATGTGGTGAAGTCGATATGGGAGAGGTTCGGACCGATGGAAGTGGATCTGTTTGCGTCTCGAGAGACGTCCCACTGTCCACTTTGGTTCTCCCTCTCACATCCAGCCCCACTGGGGTTGGATGCCATGGTACAGGCTTGGCCGAGGCTTCGCCTGTATGCTTTCCCCCCGATCGCTCTGCTCCCAGGGGTCCTGGAGAGGGTCCGTCAAGAGGGCATCAGTCTACTTCTGGTTGCCCCGAGATGGCCGACACGAGTATGGTTCTCGGATATAATATCACTCCTCATAGCTCCGCCATGGCCGATTCCTCTGAGGAGGGATCTATTGTCTCAGGCGGAGGGCACAATCTTCCACCCTCGCCCAGAGTTGTGGAAGCTGTGGGTCTGGCCTCTGAGGGGGTTCAGTACCTAAATGCTGGCTTATCAGCTGAGGTGGTTGAAACCATACTTAGCTCTAGGGCCCCATCTACCAGGAGATTATATGGCCTCAAGTGGAAGGTGTTTCACACTTGGTGTGGAGAACGAAGGTTGGATCCAGTAAACTGCCCAGTGGCTTCAGTTCTGGAATTCCTTCAGGATCGTTTCTCTGCGGGTCTCTCCCCGTCCACTCTTAAGGTGTACGTGGCTGCCGTTTCGGCTTTCCACGCGCCAGTAGATGGTGGACCTCTGGGGAGGCACCAGTTGGTCATTAGGTTTCTCCGTGGTGCTTGGAGGATGAGGCCGGCGATCAGGTCCAGGGTGCCTGCCTGGGATCTGGCAATAGTTCTGGAAGGGTTGTCCCTCGCTCCCTTCGAACCTTTAGAGTCGGCTTCGCCTAAGGACTTAACGTTGAAAATGGTCTTTCTCTTAGCGATTACCTCTCTTAAGAGGGTGGGAGATCTCCAGGCCCTGGCGGTAACGCCAGCTTGCTTGGAGTTTGCCCCTGGCAAAGTAAAGGCCTTTTTGCACCCGAGTCCGGGCTACGTGCCTAAAGTTCCTTCGAGTACGGCTCGCTCTGTAGTCCTTCAGGCATTCCATCCTCCACCTCATGTGTCGGCGGGAGAAGAGAGGCTTCACTTGCTCTGCCCCGTCAGAGCTTTGAGTGTATACTTGGAAAAGTCTGCTTCTTGGAGAAGATCTGACCAGTTGTTAGTATGCTTTGGGTCACCTAAGAGGGGGCTCCCGGCGACCAAACAAACTATAAGTAACTGGATTGTCCAGGCTATTACTGAGGCTTACAAGGTGCGTGGGGTTCCTTCACCTTTGGCCTTAAGGGCTCACTCGACTAGAGGCATGGCTTCCTCTAGGGCCCTTCTGTCGGGAGTACCTCTGCAGGAGATTTGTGAGGCAGCCGGCTGGGCTACCCCGCATACTTTCATCAGGTTTTACAGTCTCAGCCTTCCCAGTACGCCCGGTGCACACGTACTCGGCCCTTGCTGAGTGCCTAATCAGTTTCACTCTGGGGCGGGTCTGTTCGGTGCGTGGCCTAGTGGGTACTCGTTCCCCAAAGAGTCGATTTTATCGACGCAGTGTTGAGTTCCCTCGATAGGGAACGTCTCGGGTTATGACTATAACCCTTGTTCCCTGAGAAGGGAACGAGACACTGCGTCGTGTTGCCACGCCCCCTTTTCAGACCCTTGAGCGTCTTGCTTCATCGCGAGGCTAGTGTGTGTTGTGACAGCGTCACTTTTATACTTCCGGGTATGCCGTCACATGTTACGTCACGACGCAACACCAATCAGGATTGGATTAGTTTCATTCATACTTCAGAGGCGCACGCTTAGGGAGCGTCCCCAAAGAGTCGATTTTATCGACGCAGTGTCTCGTTCCCTTCTCAGGGAACAAGGGTTATAGTCATAACCCGAGACGTTTTCTCGTCTTTCTATTGTATTCAGCCAAGTTATATTAAAATCCAATTTTGTTAGTGGTGAATAACCCCATTTTTTTAATATTGATTGATAAGTAATGCTAAAATAATTGTAAAAATATTTAATTAAAAATAAATGTTAAATATATATTTTTAAATCATTAAAGTATTACCAAAAAAATTAGTAATTATATGAATCCTTTTTTTGTGCAGTGTTGTTATTGTTAACAAAAACTATTAAATAAAAAATATATAATTTGCGGCATTATTATTTTCAGTAAATACAATAAATCAGAAATTAAATAAAATATTAAAAGAAAAACTAAAAGTACTATAACTGATAGAGAAAAACATTAAAGGGATATAGAATAAAAATGACAAAAGCAAAAAACTAAATTACTAAAACTACTAGAGTACTAAAATTAAAAATTGTTCAAAATCTTAATAAATACAGTCATAAATAATACTAAAATACTAGAGTATTGCATTGTTCCTCTCACCAATCAATTATCAAATCAGTCGAATATCTTTTTGGCTTTGCAAGCAGAGTTCTTGCCTATAATTTGTAGGTCATCTCGGCCTTCAAATACTTTATAATCCCATAATGCACTGTGACAAGCTCAGTGAAAAAAATTAATCCAAGATGCCAGATGACCCGAGAGAAATGTTGATTATAAATATTCCAATACTGAAAAGTGGAAATAAAACTAAAATGATTCAATCAAATCATTAAAAAAAAGTAAATACATAAAAAATACTAATTTACAAAAAGAAATATGTTGCAATCCTCACCAATCAATTGTGTGGCAAATCCCGTTCATTTCACATGCTGCGTCTCTCCAGTGAACAGCAGGGCAACTCGCTCTTCAAATATTGTACACTATCCATCTTCCCCTTGTCAGCTGGTCAGTACATGATGTTCCTGCATGTTTAAACCTCAAAAAGAGGCTGACTGTGGCTCTTGGTGTGGTTGGAGGGTTTTGAAGATTGATGACTGACCCTGCAACGGATCCATCTACTTATCTCAGTCCCACAAATATTCCCACGATGGCTAATTACCTGCTGTAAGCTGCAATTTGGCACACCAGTCTTACCAACGGGAACCAGTACAGACAGTGTGAGGTGGCAGAGGGAGGGGAACGGCCTGCCCATGTGGCACACGCCACCTGTGTTCTCGTTTTCTGCTGGAACCACAAAGGTTTTCAGATCTCGGCATTCACAGTACAGCCCTTCATTCCTCAAAGATCTGCCTTCAAACAATGAAGTGCCTCACAGGACCCGAGTGGAAATTGAAGAGGAGTGTATTATCCAGGTTATCATTCTCTGAAGCGCTCATCCTAATATGTATGTACTTTGCTAGTGGGAAGGATATAACAGAGCTAAACTAATGCAGTTAATATTTATCAGGCAAGGCTTCAAAATCGGTATAAACGGAAAAATATTATTTTCTTAGTCAGTATTTTTGTTTTCCAGTACAAACATGTAAACATTTTTTAATCAAGATAAATTTACTTCAGAAGCAAAATTAAGACAAACACTATCTCACAAAAGTGAGTCCACCCCTCACATTTCAGCAAAAATTTTAGTATATCTTCTCAAGGGACAATATTGTGGAAATGAAACTTGGATATATTTTAGAGTAGTCAATGTTCTGCTTGTATATCAGTATATATTTACTGTCCTCTGAAAATAACTTTTAAAGTTATTAAAAAGCAATTATTGTCAAAATAGCTGGCAACAAAAGTGAATACACCCTAAGTGAACATGTCAAAATGTCTAAAGTGTCAATATGTTGTGTGAGCACCATTGTTATCTAGCACTGCCTTAATCCTCCTGGGCATGGAGTTCACCAGAGCTGCACAGGTTGTTGCTGGGACCCTCTTCCACTCCTCCATAATGACATCATGGAGCCGCTGGCTGTTAGACACATGGCGCTTCTCCACCTTCCGCTTGAGGACGCCCCACAGCTGCTTAATAGAGTTCAGTTCTGGAGAAATACTTGGCCACTCCATCACCTTCAGCTTCCTCAGCAAGGCAGTTGTCATCTTGGTGGAGTGTTTGGGGTCGTTATCATGCCATCCGGCCCAGTTTCTGAAAGGATGGCCCAAAATGCTTCAGAATGTCAAAGTACATGTGGAATCCATGTTTCCCTCAATGAAGCGTAGCTCCCCAGTACCAGCAGCACTCGTGCGGCTCCAGACCATGATGCTACCACCACCAGGCACGACTCTAGGCAAGACACTTATTTTTTTGGTACTTCTCACCAGGGTTTCGCCACACATGCTTGACACCCTCTGAGCCACACATGTTTATCTTAGTCTCATCAGACCATAGGACATGGTTCCAATAATTTATGCTCTCGGACAGATTGCTTTCAGCAAAATGTTTGCAGACTTTCTTGTGAGCCAGCTTCAGAAGAGGCTTCCTTCTGGGTCGACGGCCATGCAACCCGACTTGTTGCAGTGTGTGGTGTATGGTCTGAGAACTGACAAGCTGACCTTCCGCTTCTGCAACCTCTAAAGCAATGCTGGCATGATCATGCGTCTGTTTTTTGAGACAAAAACGCACAGCACGAGGATTCAACTTCTTTGATTGACCCTTGCAAGGCCTGTTCCAAGGGGAACACGTCTTGGAAAACCTCTGAATGACCCTGGCCTGTACTGTAACTCAGTTACTAATCTTCTTATAGCCTATGTCTACTTTGTGGAGAGCAACAATTCTAATTCTCAAATCCTTAGAGGGTTCTTTGCCATGAGGTGCCATGTCAAACATCCAGTGATCAGTATGAGAGAATTGTACTTAAAGCACAAATTTTAACTGCTCTAATACAAGATAGTAGCCTGACTTCGTCATAAGCCGCTTTCCGATCCGGAGGGACTTTTGCAGTTCCTAGAACCTAACGTTCCTATAACCATTTTTTTCTCGTGTTCCGACCGGACTAAATTGGGGATTTTTTAGTTCCTCAGACCGTAGTTCCAGCCCATTCTCACCCCCAAGGCGTCACTTAACTGACGCCTTGGGAAGCATTTGGACATGCTTCAATATCTGACGCTTTAGGCGCCCTTTAGCGTCAGTTAGATGACGCCGTAGGATCGCGTGTACCCTACCCCCACCCCACACCTAAACCTAACCGCGTCCTCTAACTGACACTTTCCTTTAGCGTCAGTTAGATGACGCCCTAGGATCGCGTGTACCCTACCCCCACCCCACACCTAAACCTAACCGCGTCCTCTAACTGACGCTTTCCTTTAGCGTCAGTTAGATGACGCTGTAGGATCGCGTCATGTAAGTGACGCTAAAGGGCGCCTAAAACGTCAAATATTGAAGCATGGTCAAAGGTGACGCCTTGGGGTGAGAATGCGTTGGTAGTTCCTATAACTCTTTCAGTACCTAGTCTAGAGCGAGGACTTTTTTAGTTCCCTTTCCCTAGGTCTACGTTGATTGGTTCAACTTATAAGTCATGCCCACTGTCAACACGGAACTTGTAGCGCGCTATCTGCCATACGCTGTGTGTTTTTGCAAAACATTACAACGAGGATTAAGACAAACATAACGCATTCAACCAGCTGATTGCTAATAATAGCTAAACTTACCCGTCGTTTTGTTTGCCTCCTGCGCTCTGCTCTTTTATCTTCTTCCATCATATTACTTAATATCATATTACGCTGGAGCCTTCGTCTTCTGTGTTTCTCTGTACAGAACTCAAGCATAATCTTTAAACGCCGCCGTTCGTTCTCCGTTATTAAGGTCCCGGCAAGGCAGAACAGCAACCAGGAACATTGCAATAGCCTCCGCCATGCTGGTTTGTTGTAAGACCGTCGCCGTGCTTGCGTCCTACCAGTTCCTATAGCCACTTGGCCAGTGCGAACGCAAGCAGCAAAACTGAGTTTGGGGAAGAGTAGAACTGTTTAGAAGTGGACAGTTCCTATAACTAACTTCCTGTACACTGCGTCAAAAAGTGTGTATACGGGAGAATTCGGACAATGAAAACGCCCGCGAAATGTGCTGTTTGGCAGGGATCTTTGGAACTTTGTTATGCGTACCTGTAAATGCCTGTGAAGGCCCGAAAACAGGAACTTGTCTGACCACATGCTGTTAGTTGATGGCTTGGCTTTTTAAATGCTAATTTGTTTTGGGACTGGCTCAAGTTTGCCCCTATTCCCCTGCCCCCCTCATTAGTATTCAGGAAAGGTGATAGGCTTTACATTGTGTCAATCTTCAACAAGTGTTACGGAGAGCAGAGTGGAGATGTTACTCCTTTACATAGGGACAATATGGCTCTTAAATCTCTGAGTCCAAACGAAAACAGACTGGTGTATATGGCAAATGAAAGTTTGAAGAGGATATTTGAAAAGCTGGAGATGATGGACATGAGGTTGGATAAGATGGAGGCTGACATCAATGAGCTCAAAGAGGCAAAAAGAGGAGCCTGCTTCAAAGAAATTAAAGAGAGCTGGGAATAATTCTGTTGCGGTAAGTTATTTTCTGACCATCACAGTGTCTGCTTAACTTTGTGTGCTTTATTTATAAATCTATTCGAATTGAGCCCTCATACTATGTTGGATTTTTACAGGAAGCTGTATGGAGATTGCACAATGGGGAAAACAACATACACAAATATGACGCACAGACAAGGTATATCTTTAAAACTATGCTTTCATAACAGTCTTTTCTTCTAAATTATATTTTTAATCAACCTTCTTTAATTACTGCTTCACAGTCTATCCTCCCCCCACAACCTCGAGGTCATAATCTTTTTAATGGCTGTACCGGACATAGATCCTGCTGTTGTTAAAGGTAAGTCACAAGAGAATGTACCAAGGCTACAACTTTTTAACTGTATAGATTAGTTAGTTACAAATAAACATATTCTCCCCCTCTCTATCTCCATCTCTCTAGCATCCTGCAAGCCATATTTTGAAACTGTTAGAAGGGGTTACAGGATGGCCCAAGATGATAACAAAGACAAGATGGAGGACAGCAGGATCATTATGCTCATGAGACAAAGAAAAAGAAGAGTAAGTATAAATACATATAAATCTGAGTAAAAGCCTCAGCCTGGGAGAGGCTCCCATCCCAACACATTTGATATTTTCATTGGTTTAATTACTTTTTTCCCTCCCATTTTGCAGCTACTGAGCTGCAGGACTGGGGTTCCCCAGACAGAGGAAGATGCAGCTATCTGGAAGACTGCAACAGTTGACCACATGTCTGAAGAGTAGGATGCCATATTGGATGGAAAGTCGGTGTGGGTTGTTCGGGTTATTATATTGTTTTACATATATTATACACAGGCCTTATACATTATATGGGGTTATTTATTGTATGACTAATAGTAAAATGTATTCTGTGCTAATGTTTTTTTTTATTATTTATAGAGTTTTGACTGTGTGTATATAAATACACTCACCGGCCACTTTATTAGGTACACCTGTCCAACTGCTCTTTAACACTTAATTTCTAAGCAGCCAATCACATGGCGGCAACTCAGTGCATTTAGGCATGTAGACATGGTCAAGACAATCTCCTGCAGTTCAAACCGAGCATCAGTATGGGGAAGAAAGGTGATTTGAGTGACTTTGAACGTGGCATGATTGTTGGTGCCAGAAGGGCTGGTCTGAGTATTTCAGAAACTGCTAATCTACTGGGATTTTCATGCACAACCATCTCTAGGGTTTACAGAGAATGGTCCGAAAAAGAAAAAACATCCAGTGAGCGGCAGTTCTGTGGGCGGAAATGCCTTGTTGATGCCAGAGGTCAGAGGAGAATGGCCAGACTGGTTCGAGCTGATAGAAGGGCAACAGTGACTCAAATAACCACCCGTTACAACCAAGGTGGGCAGAAGAGCATCTCTGAACGCACAGTACGTCGAACTTTGAGGCAGATGGACTACAGCAGCAGAAGACCACACCGGGTGCCACTCCTTTCAGCTAAGAACAGGAAACTGAGGCTACAATTTGCACAAGCTCATCGAAATTGGACAATAGAAGATTGGAAAAACGTTGCCTGGTCTGATGAGTCTCGATTT